ATACAAAAGATCTAAAGTCTCCATCATTTTTAATGGCTGAATAGTAGTCCATGGTATACATATACCACAGCTTGTTAAGCCCTTCCTGGGTTGGTGGACATTTAGGCTGCTTCTACACTTTGGTGATTATAAATTGAGCTGCCATAAACAATCTAGTGCAAATGTTCTTATGATAAAAAAACTTTTTTCCTTCTGAGTAGATGCCTAGTAATGGGATTGCAGGAGCAAATGGGAGGTTTAATGTGAGTTCTTTGAGGATTCTCCATACTTCCTTCCAAAAAGATTGTATTACTTTGCAGTCCCACCAGCAGTGTAAAAGTGTTCCCTCTCCACATCCAAACCAACGTCTATAGCTCTGAGACTTTGTGATATGTGCTATTCTCACCGGGGTTAGGTGATATATCAGGGTGATTTTGATTTGCATTTCTCTCACAATCAATGACAATGAGCATTTTTTCAAATGTTTATTAGCCATGCATCTGTGTTTATCAGAGAAGGTTCTTTCTGTTCATATCTGTTACCCAGAGGCAAACGGCCTTGTTTACTCTTTTTCTGTTGATTACTTAGAGTTCCCTATAGATTATCAACTCTTTCTCAGATTTATACCCTGCAGATATCTTTTCCCATTCTGGAGGCTGCCTTTTAGCTTCACATGTTGTATCCTTAGCAGTGCAGAAGCCTTTCAGCTTAATTAAGTCCCATTTGTTAATTTTTGTTGTTGTTGCTATGGCCGCTGAAGTCTTTGTCATAAAATCTTTCCCTAGTCCAACGTCATCAAGAATTTTCCCCACACATTCTTCTAAGATTTTTGTCATTTCATGTCTTAGATTTAAGTCTCTTATCCTTCTTGAGCCAATTTTTGTAAAGGGTGAAAGGTGTGGGTTGAGTTTTAGTCTCTACAGATTCAATGCAATCCCCACTAAAATACTAACATATTTTGAAGAACAGGAAAAAGTAGTACTTCATTTTGTATGGAACCAGAAAAATAAAACTCATATAGCTAAGGCTATTCTTAACAACAAAAAGAAAGTTGGAGGCCTCACCTTACCAGACTTCAGGTTATATTACAAATCCATAGTAATCAAAACAGCATGGTATTGATACAAAAATCGAGACATAGACATATGGAACACAATAGAAAACCAAGAGATGGAAGCAGTCTCTACTTGCCATCTGATCTTTGATAACTCAAACAAAAGTATACAGTGGGGAGAAGACTCTCTATTCAACAAATGGTACTGGGAGAACTGGATTACCACATGTAAAAGAGAGTTTCCTTATCTTTAAACAAGAGACTCTACTACATAGGATTTATTTTATTCTTAAATAGCTAATTTTAAAAAATTGCTTAGAACTGAGTTAAGCACACAGATTACTGGAGGTGAATTTTAATGCAATTTATTAGTTTCCCCCCAAACAAAATTTGCATGAGGGGAAAAAAAAGGTAAGAAATAGAATTACACTGTAGGAAGGGACATGAATAGTTCCTGAAACAAATCATTTGATGTTGCACACTTGAAAAGAGGATGTAGAAGTCAAGGAGATATTGGTACAAACCAATAACAGAGTGAGAAAAACACTGTAAGGCCAACTAAGGAGGAAGGAAAGGGCATGTTTTTTTCCTGATTCTCACCTATATGGCCAGCAGGGTTATTTAGAAATGCTCGTTAAAGTTCTCTTTCCTGGTCACGATGCTTACTGAGCCCAAGAGTATCTTAAAATGCCATTGCAGTAAAATGCCATCTTAAAATGCCATTGCAGTAAAACCACGTTTTTTAACTTGCAAGTCCACAAAGTCAGCAGAGAAATAGAAAGCAGCAAGTTACTTGTATTCATTAATTTTTTGAGATGAAGTCTTGCTCTGTCACCCAGACTAGAGTCCCAAGGCCTCAGCCTAGTTCACAGCATCCTCAAACTCCTGGACTCAAGTAATCCTCCCGCCTCAGCCTCCTGAGAACTGGGACTACAGGCCAGCATGTCCAGCTAATTTTTCTATTTTTAGTAGAGACAAGAGTCTGTGCTCAGGCTGGTCTCTGAACTCTTGACCTCAATGAATCCTCCCACCTTGGTCTCCCAGAGTGCTAAGAGTGTGAGCCACTGCACCTGGCCCAGGTTACTTATCTTTATAACCTCATCCTGTGAAAGCTAGGGCACTAAAATGTATTACAAAAACAATGTCTTGAGTTCTTCAAATAACCAAGGACCTGAAATCAATTTTATTATAACCTTTACCTACCAAAGTGAAGTCAAGTTAGATGAATATAAAAGCAAAATTAAGACAGAAGGATCTAGTAGTTTATAAATGCTTATTGTAAATGTGTAGTGTTAAGGTTAAGGAATAATCCAGGATTCATTTTTTAAAGCTGGCTCTACATCAAGATAGGAGTGCATTGGAATGTTTATATCCAAGCAGAATGCATCCTATTGTAATAGTACAGCTAAGCACCAATGTGCTTATTTCCATGATAAAGGCGGGGACAATTTGGAAGACACTAAAATGAAGATGAAAAGAACACATAGCCTTCATTTCTTAAGGCAGGACATAGTTTGAGCCATTGTGTTCCTTCTCTGCTTTCTTCTTATTGCCAGATCTCGTGGATTTGTGATTTTTGAGATGTTTTCTGGGTTTTAGCTACCTGGAAATGTTTCTGCTATATTGAACTATCATTAGCCTTTAATGATAAATTTTTGCTGCTTCATATAGTGTATTCTCTTTTTCTTTGAATTTTCTGTACTATTTTCCAGAAAGTACATGTTTCCTGGCCAGAAGAATGCAAAACAAGTTGTTGTCTCTTAAAACCTTAAGAGCATGCATCTTAACAGTGAGAAGATCAGCAAGCTAATAGTGGGACTTTTTTTTTTTCCCCATAACTCTAATTCATAAGTGGAAAGAGAACCACAATCAAGAGAAAAACAATCCAAGGTAGAGTTTTTAGTAATAGAAAAAATTAAATAAAACTTTGCCATTTCTGTCATAAAACATACCATAAGAGATATGTCTAAAAATTTCAACTATGCAATCAATAGTAAGATATATTGTGTTTGTTGGGTTTGAATACATTAGAGTGTTTTATGGGGGACCATTCTGTTCTTTCTTTAGTATTTTTGTTTGTTTGTTTGTTTGTTTTTGAGACAGAGTCTCATGCCCCAGTAGGTGTAGAGCCAGGATGTCAGGCCAGCTCACAGCAACCTCAAACTTCTTGGTTCAAGAGATCCACCTGCCTCAGCATCCCAAGTAGCTGGGAATACAGGTGCCCACCACAACATCTGCCTAATTTTTTTCTGTTTTTAGTAGAGATTGGATCAGCCTCGTGCTCAGGCTGGTTTTGAACTCCTGAGTTCAAGGGATCCTCCTGCCTCGGCCTCCTACAGTGCCAGGATTATAGGTGTGAACCACCACACCTGGCCCTGAGAATTCTGTTCTAACAAAAATAAGAAAAAATATAATCATAGTATTTATACCACAAGAATCCAATACACATACATTATTAACATTATTAAACTTACTATGGTGATAAACAATGAGAGACTTGTAATTTTCAGTTATAAATGTGTAATTTTCCCCCTCTCCCTCTCTCATGGTAACCTGATGATAATATGCAGCCAAAAAAAAAAAAAAACTCTAGGGGGTGGGAGAAGGGAGGGGGGAATGGATAGAGGGAGGGGGATTCGAGGGTTCACTTCTGTGGTTTATCTTACAAGGGTACAAGTGAATCTTTCTATGAGTAGAATATGAACGTTTTAACACAATAACTAAGAAAATGACATGAAGACTATGTTAACCAGTTTGATGGAAGGGTTTCGGATTGTGTGTGAAAACCCCACACTGTACTAGAAGTGCATTAATGTACACAGTTACCATTCAATAAAAAAACAAAAAAAAATTCCAAACCCTATGTGATTCATTGCCCCCGTGTAGTCAATATTTAATTTCCGATTATTAGTATTATTTAATTATTAGTATTAATAATAATAACTAATAACTAATTAATAATGATAGAAAAGAAGGAAGTATGCTAGAGCTTAAGTACTGGATTTTATTTACTAGCTGTGTCAATGTCAGAAGTCATCCAAACTTTCTGGCTTTCCTGCTATAAGGGATTTTCACAACAACCATTTGTACATGGGGATGTTGTTTGTGTTATATCAAATGCTCTGTCCATATAGATGATCATTTTTCTTTAAACATCTGTATATCTGTGATGTAGCTAACACAAATGAAATAAACTAGAAATGAGCCTTTACCCAATTTTTGAATTGATACATTTCAGCTTTGATGCCAAGAGTCAACTACCTTTAGATAGAATTGTGCCTTGAGTTTCAGAATGATAAATGGATTACCATTTTTATAGCTTAAACGGGACTAAGAAATCATCTCCTAGTCATCAAAAACGGTATTTGCTATTTGCACTAAATTGTGATGGTGGGTTTGTCATAGTGATGATCAAAGGACATCCCTACGTTTTATTGATTTGTACTCAAATAAGTATGCCATTGTCCCTGCTGGGAGATACACACACGCACATGAGCACACACACGTGATCAGTTCATTTGGCTTTTCCTTGCCATCCACGGAATACACAGACCCTCTGCAGGTGCCATCATATGGGCCATTATAGCTAGAGAATTCCCAGAGACAAACCGAGATAGGTCAAAAATGCACATCAAAGGCACCAATTTAACCCAAATGGTTATTTTGTTTGACACACATCGTATCACAGTTGGTCGCTGCAGTGTTTATTTGAATTTAAACACTGATTAGGTCCCTTGCCAGTCCTGTTTTTGCAAACACATACAAAGCTAAATATACCAATCCTCATTAAATCAAAAGAACCATGCATAGCGTGGCAGGCAGTCATTGCTGTTATTACCAATAAACAAAAGTGTATATGTTTCCCCAATCTGAGTGCTGAAACGTGCTCTGTGTTTATGGAGCACGCTAAGGGGTGGGGGTGGAACCTTCCTGGTTCAGCTAGTGGACTGTGGCCCTGGGCACATACCTGGGTCTCAACATCTGTCAGCTTTCGGGTCTGCTCTGCGGTCTGCGACAGGAGGCTGGTTCCTATCTCGAGCATGGTGGCCGTGTGGTTCTGAACTGCATTCTGCTGTATCTGGGCCATCTCCGACTTCATATTTTCCACAATGTAATTCTCAAGCTGCAAGAGATAAAGGACAAAGCGTACTACATTATAAGTAAAGCCTCGCAGTCGGGGCATGTAATATTTACAATGACAAAACAAGACACAGCTGGCAAATCGGCCATCTGGCAGGAAGCCTCCGTATCTCTGGGAGCTGGGGAGATGGAAGCAGAGCACACAGGAATCCCGTTGTCAACAAACTCCTAATACACTGATACACACGCAGAATAATCACAAGCATAACGATAATTTGCACTTGGATCATGCTTTCCATTCTTGGAATCATCTCTTTTAACCCTCACAGCAGAGATGCAAGTTAGAAACAGTCGCCTTCATTTGGTCTTTTGATTTCATAGCTTAGGCAACAGAATCAGAGAGGGTCAGGAATGAACCCAAGGTCACCCAGCATAAATGCAGCCCAAGTTCACACAATAATTTAAATCTCAATATTGATGCTCTGCTTTTTCCATTACACCATACTGACCACTTATCTCAGAAAAGTTCAGCCTCCTGTTTCCATTTTTGTAATGATAAATAGAAGACCATGCTGCTCTGGGGGAATGGGAGGAGGACTAGGAGGAGGACTGGGAGGAGGACAGACCCTCAGAATGAAACCCTTTAAGGAACAGTCACACACAAGCCACAACATAGGCAATGAGCTGCAGAGCCTGCAAGTGAGTTAGAACCATTTTCCATGCTCTTTTGCAAACTCAAAAATAGGCACAGTCTATAAATTGGTCTTTGCTCTTCTTGCCCTGGGTAAGATTTAGTCCTTTATGGTACCCTGTCAGAGAACACTATAGTTGTAAAACAAATGGTACCATCGGGTCCAAGAAGAATTATTAAGTGACTTACTCCAAGGGAGCCTGTTAGGTACCTGGGAGAATAAAGCTGAGCATATGTGTTGCTTGGAAAATACAGGGGAAGCCTACCCCTCCCTGCGAGCGCACTTGTTCCCCCATCCCCCCGCCCGTAGTGACTACATGTCATTACCCAATTACACATGTGGGGAAACTGTATCCCAGAGAAGTCAAGTCCAAGGCCACACAGATTTAACTTGAGTGCTGAAGTCCTTCACTCTCATACCAACACTTTAAGCCACTTAATACTTTTGCCAAGTCGTGCTTCACAAGCTGGGTTCCAAATCATTAACAGCTACGTGATTTTCACTGATGTAGTGGACCAAAAATACATCCACTATTTAATAATCCATAGTTACATTATTATCATGTAATAAATACAGTCTAACTGTAAACCCCCCTTCGTGAAACTTCGGCAGTTCTCTTTCTAACATCATCTCTTGCTTATTCCTATTTGTCAACTCTGACTGTGCCCCAAGCGAACAAAAAACGCAAGTTTAGAATCAGACTCAGAATGTTATGAATAGATTCTGAATTTGTTCTTGGTCAGGATAAAACATTCCCCTTCCTTCTTTACTCCCAAATTAGACATAGGGGTGGAAAGTTTTAACCTGTGAAAGTTTATTGTAAAAGAAATAAAAAATAGATTATCGTAAGTATCTGAAAATTATCTGAACAAATACAAGTTCTCAGGGCTAAATCTTGGCTTTATTCCAATTGAACTATTCGTGTTAGTGAAACAATAAGGCAAGGGGAGAGGAACAGAGGGTGGGTAAGATGGATTCCTCGCCTGGTACTTCCTCTTCTCATGAAGAAGATCGGCTTTCCCCACTTCAGCACAAAGGCTCTGGGTGGTGGAGTCTATCCCTAGTTTCAAGAGCATGTTGGATAAGCCAGAATGTCCTGCTCTTAGCAGACGTGAGTTATTCAAGAATGGAAAGATACTGCAAGCAAGGCCATTACCCTCAGGCTGGAATTTTGTCAAATTACTTTATAAAATAACTCCTGTTTTTCTCGGGTGAGTAAGGTGATAACATACGTGCCTGCCGTGGCTGATGTCCATTTTGCTACCACAAAACCAGCGCTGGCCCAGAAAGACAGGGAGGGAGCCAGATAGATCACATAGGTAACAGACAGATAGAGCTGGGTGATATTGATACAGAGACACCTTTGGAGCATGTGAATCCAAGCCATGTGTTGAGCTAGATTTACCCCTAGACAGTTGTAAGTTCCATGATCTAATAATCCCTTCCCAGCAGCCAATACTTTTTCACCTTCAATTACATTGATTTATGTTTTTAACATTAACAACCAAAAGAGTTTTGATGTTACATTTGATAAATGTTTAGCAAAAGAAGGCCCAGACAGGAAAGCATAAGCAGTCTGTTCTTTACTTGTCCAGTGAATTCAGACAAAGGATATGTAGGCAGACCTGGATCTGAATGGGCCTACACTAAGAAGTGCCAGGTAAGTCTCCGCGTGAAGCCGACACCTGCCGTTTAGAGCTGAGATTTGGTAATTGTCTGCTATGCAGCAGGTACTGAGTGTTTTCCTTTTATAACTGCACCTAAACCTCACAGCAACTTTATGTGCTTTATAGATGAAATTCTCAAGACTTAGAAACCCCAAAGCAACTTGCCCAAGAACATGCAAGAATTCAACCCCCAACTCCAAAAGCCATGTTCTTAACCTCTAAATTTATTCACCCTAGCACTACTTAACTACATTAAGTGTATAATAGCTCACAAGCCTTGAATGTTCATCAAAACTACATGGAAAGAATTTAAAATGCAGATGGAGGTACAGCACACCCCAAACCTCCAAGGGAATATATGATACTAGGAAACTATATGTTTGTAAAGCTCCCATGGTGATTCTGATTCAGACAAACCACCAGTGCTTCTCAAAGTGTGGTCCACAGAACAACTGCTGGTATGCCGTTGGTGATTGATTAATTGTGAGATGAGAAGCTTGTGCCAGAATATAAATTATGCATCACAAAGCATACTGGTTAGTTCACCTGATATACAGAGAAAGCGGCCTCATTTGATTACAAGGTAATTAACTAGAGTTACAATCGTGCTACTCATCATGGGGGGTGTGTGTGTTTGAGCAAGACTTTCTCAAAGAAAAAAGTGATTCTATAATTTACATTCTTGAGCAAGCTTCTTATATTATTACAAAATGACAACAATTTCCTTGAGTAGCACTAATTTAGACCATCAAATTGACTCTGTCAGACTCACTGCTTAACAAGAAATGTGGTTTCCTATGCAAACTTCCCTTCTGAGAGACAATTCACTACCAGCGAACCCCAGTACAGGATCTGCTTGATAATTATACACCAACTTATTATGCAGCTGGTTAGCAGAAGTCAGTTCTCAGAGCTGGACTTGCTCTGGGTATGATAACAACTGTGTACCCCAGTCTTTGTGGAAGAGGACACGCTCTGGCAGAGAGTGGTTACAACAAAGTTCAGCTGCTTTGCAAGCCTATCTATGTGTCAGATGTGGATAATTCTGTACTACTACGCTTGTTTTTTGAAAACCAGAAAATTAACACCAGCAAAGCAAAAATAACTTTTCTTTTTTTTTGTAGTTTTTGGCCAGGGCCGGTTTGAACCCACCACCTCTGGTATATGGGTCCGGTGCCCTACTCCTTTGAGCCACAGGCATCCAAAGCAAAATAACTTTTTCACACTCACATTCATCATACCCATAAAGTGCCTCTGAATTCTGCTGACCCTGGTGTAGAATTAAAGTATGTCTCCAACATACACTAAAATTCTTCTTTGGGCTGCCATGATGAGTAGCATGAACATAATTCCAGTTAATTATTTTTTAATCAAATGTGGCTGCTTTCTCTAGGAATAACTGCCTTTTAATGTAAAAGGTAATGGCACACTTAAGTAGCAAGAACCAGATGCAGTTGATTTAAAGGCCGAAGAGAGAGGCAGAAGTCAAATATACAATGTGTGATTAATAAGGAGGCCTGCTTTCATGTTATCTCTGAACATTCCTCTGTAGATGTATAACTGTGAAATCCATCTTCCTGTGCCCTATCAGCTAGCCTCAGGAAAGAGTTGTAACAAATTTGATTGTCTTCATATATTTCCTACTGGTTTTTAAGCTATGCTTCCAGGAAATGATGGCTACTTCAAGGTTTAATATTTTATAAACATCCAAGATATAAATTTCAAGCTTAGAAGCTGCTGACCATGAGAGGTGATGAGCTACAAGGAAGGAGTCTCTCAATCTGAATTATAAAATTATTAGATTATACCAGCATTCCAGAGTTTCATAAAATATTGGCCAAAAAACTAGGAAAAGGATGTAGGGTGTGATTTGAAAAGAGATGACAAAGAATAGATGAATATTTCTTACTACCCACTATAAAATATAATAAAGGGAATGGGTAGAACAACATACTAAGTCTCTAGTAAGGCTACATCTGTACCAGGGTTTCTGGCTATGTATCTAGTTCATTGAATTTTTACAACAATCCACATACTGTGTTACTTTCTTCATTTCACTGATATGTAAACAGAGGCTCAAGGAAGTAAATTGTCTAGGATCACGTGGTGAGTTGGTGGCAGAGCTGGCATTGCTTTGGTAGAAGCTAGATTACCCAACAGGTTGCGTTCCCTCTGAAAGGCAAACCATCCTTCAAACACAACCCTGTTGCCACCAGTGTGAGAGACAGATTCTGATAACACCATCTTCGTGCAGGGAGTTTGTAAAAGGAAAGCTACAGGAATGATGTGCTGTAACTTGTTCAGTGACAGATCATTTTAAATTTTTTAAATTTAAATATTTATACATAGATTGATGGCTGGGAAATGTGGCACATGGGGAGCAAGCAAATATTCAGTCAACTGTATGAGAAGTATTATTAAGCAGACAAAGAAAAAACATTTTTATGAAGTTATCAGCCATTCGTAGTTCATTCGTGAATGATTTACCTCTGTCTTTTGCCCAGTGACTAAAATGGAGAATGAAGGCCGTTATTCTCCATTATGAGAGAGAGTTTTGGGCAAGTTCTATTGCTGGACTCTTAATATCACTGGTGGTTCATGTTTTGAGAACCAAAATCCGTAAGAGATCATGATATTTCCCATTAAGAAATCACTGCAAGAGAACTGCTAAACCAGAGCCGATC